TATTTAATTTTTTGGCAAAGAATCAATGAAGTAGCAGTTTTTGGTTCTGAATAAATATAACAGTTGTGCGCACATAAAAGAAATTGTTGGTTAACAAGCCAACAACAATATTCGATATATATCTGCGTATCGTTGTAAGGCTCTCGAATTTAGGCTTTCTTCTTCTGCACCAAAACAACTATCGATATTGTTAAAGGTGGTAGTAGTGCCGTTGATATTGTTGTTATTGCCGCTGCTACCAACTTCTGTTGCCGTTGATATTCCTGCTGGCGATAAAGGTGAGAGGGATGGATAGATGATTGGGATGAATGGATGGAAAAAAGAAGTGACATTAGTGGAACCAGCGAACAATACACACATTCACACACACACACACACACACACACACACACACACACACAGACACACACACACACACACACACACACACACACACACACACACACCACACACACACACACACACACACACACACACACACACATAGATACAGCTTTTCCTTGGCACAAAAAGCTAACATATCTGACCTCATTGAATATCATCAATCAACCACCATCACAACACATTTTCCTTCCTAACCTTGAAATTCAAGAACTTTAACTTAATTTTTTATGGTTCCTCAGTGCTGCTTGACTTTTACGTTTATGAATACTTAAGTTCAAATATACAAATAGCCTTGCTCTTTCTTTTCATATTATTATCGCTCATATGCTAAGCAATGGAACATGAGCAAAAAATTAAGAAAGAAAAGGGGTGTGAAAATAATACAAAAAGATCAACTTAAATGGAAAATAGGCGGATGTTTGTGAAGCGGTTATAATATTGTCACTGTTGAATACTATTCTGTACTCGTCATCTGAAACGAAAGAACTCAAGGGATTGTTAAACGAGTAAGAAAAAAAAAAATAAAATAAATTTAATTTCAACAGTAAAAATTGTACACCGATAAAACTATAAAGCTGTAAGCAAAAGCATCTTTGTGAATATTTATGAAAATTACATACCCTCACTCGCTCACTCACTCACTCACTCACTCAGTCACCCAGTTAGTATCTCAAACATTTGGCTGCTGTAACTTTATGTGTTTACATTGAAGGCGCTAGGATAACGATGGCTAACCTTTAGGTTCCTAAGTCTTCCACAGCAACAAAAAAAAAACCTGATCTTGCTGTACTGTCTGTTTCTTTTAACCAACAAATAAATATTTTCAAGTGCTTAGGCGGAGACAAGCGTTCTTTTCTTTGGTTTTGTTGAAGTCCTTATTCTACAACACGCAACGAAAATTTGAGGCAGAACAAAACTAAAATAGAAACAGAAGAACAAAAAAGAAGAAAAGAAAAATGAAAGAAAAGTTTAACCTGACAAGTCTGAAGTGAAACAACTGCAGTGTTTTCACCTTTTTATCAACAGCACAACAACTTTTTTTCGTTTTTTATTTTTTTTTCCAACATTTCTGGACCAATGATAATGAACGATTTTAAAAGCGATGAAATGACAATTATGTTTTGTAAACAATTTTTAGATTGAAGATCGGATTACCTCGGCAATAAGCCTAAAACTTCCAGATGCAAGGCTCTTGTTTCATCAGCAAAATGTCAAATTATCTACTTGTCAAAACGTAGATTATTCGACAAGAATTACCACACAGATACAATAATTTCGAAAGCAAAAAAAAAAAAAATTTTTTTTTGCTGCTTATTGGTAAAGTTAAAAAAAATGAGGTAAATTTAAAAAAAAAAAAGTCACAAAAGTTATATGCAGATGTTTGAAAATTGTTTTTTTCTTCTATATTTTATTAAAAAGTGCTTCATTCTGTTAATTCAGTCTGTGTAATCAGTAAATTATTTCTGAGTAAACAAGCAAACAAATTTAGCAAGGCAGTACCATGTCATTATCATATTATCCTGTTTTCAGAAATAACACTATCGGAAAATCAAATGCAGTGATCAAAAAATTCTTTCACTTTGTTAAGTAAGTGTTATCGACACTGATATGCAGACAAATTTTGTCTGATTTGTACATTTCTTCTGTAGCCTAATCACTGAAGAAGCTTCCGAAGAGCATCAATGGTATTGCCAACATTTAAAGGATATCTAAACCGAAGTCTGTGAAATACAACAAATTATAAGAAATATCCGGCCAGTTACATATGAATAATACTATCAATATTTTTTTCACTTTATGCCTTATAATTGTCTAAAGTAAAAATGTAAAACTCGCATCCAGTTTTGTTATTTCTAACTAATAAAAATGTATATACAAACAAAAACTTTTATATTTGTAAATATATAACAGATGTTTAAAAATTTCTTATAAACTGAACTGAGGAAATGCCAGCTTCAGAATGTTGTTAAGTAAAAACTAACTTTAATTTTAAATCAAAAAAACATACGCAAAAAGACTTTTTTCTACTCTGTTTCTTGAATACTTAAAAACATTGAAAAAACTTTATTACTCAATTCTCAGGCAGCTATCAAAGTATCAAAAATCTGATTTCTGAGCGAATTCAAATATGAAAAAAAAAAATCAAAAGAAAAAAGCTACAGTTTTTAACCGCATTAAAAACTTTGATAATTTAATTTTGCCATCTTATAGCACCCGTATTTTGAATGCTAATGACACTGATAACACTCAAATGACCAGAAAGAAAGAGATAAACCTTAAATTTGTGAAAAACTAAGAAATTTGGTTTTTAATATGCATAAAAATTTGCGGTGAATCAATCACAGCTGCTATGCATTGAACGAGCGCATAGTTTAAGATAACAGCTTTGGATGCCTGTAATTCAAGCTTTATCTATATGCGATGATATAAATAACTTTCCTGCTATTTCACCGCAAAAATACAACCAAAAAAACTTGAAAAAAAGAATTCTTTAAATCAGTTTTCACAACTTTGATGCTATCAGTGTATGTATTTTTTACATTTGCCAAAAAAAGGCATCTGTTTAATTAACAGCATAGCTGCAACCAGTACTCTTACTTCAAACTTTTAGGGGGAAAAAAAAATTTGTACTAAACATTTATTCATCAGCAATATTATTAATAGAGCTCATTTTATTTAGTCAATCACCTAAGAACTGAAAATTTCTTCCCTTTTTCTTTCAAATTGAAGGTTAAAAAAGCAAAAAAAAAAAAAAAAAAAAAAAAAAAAAA